AAGAGACGCCTCATCGGCTGTTGTCATTGTCCATGCTTCTGCGCCATATACCAGCACGGGCATGATTAGTGACTTATAGAGTGTGGTTTTCGTACGTCGAGAGAGGACTTTACTCCTGAATTGCCTACTCAATCCAAAGTAGCACTTGTTGGCAAGTAAAATTCTGCGCTGGATTTCCATGCTGCCATTATTAGTAAACGAAATTCTCTACTTTCTCGAAATTATAACTGTCAACAGTGACGTGGGTGCCAAGGCGCGAATGTGCAGACTGTTTGTTTGTTGACAGGAGATACTTCGTCTTGTCCTCATTTACCACCAGACCCATTCGCTTTGCTTCCTTATCCAACTTGGAAAAGGCAGAACCGACTTCGCGGTTTTTGTTACCGATGGTATCGATGTCATCGGCATAAGCCAGCAATTTCACGCTCTTGTAGTAAATTGTTCCTGAGCAGTTTAGTTCTGAAGCTCTCATTATCTTCTCCAACATCAGATTAAAGATCCACACATGAAAGAGAGTCGCCCTGTCTGAAGCCCCATTTGATGGCGAACGGTTCGGATAGGTCTTTCCCAATTCTGACGGAGCTGGTAATATTGCTCAACGTCATTTTACACAGCCGTATTAGTTTGGCGGGGATGCCAAATTCAGACATAGCGGCGTATAGGCAGCTCCTTTTAGTGCTTTCGAAAATTTAAAGTCGACAAATAGGTGGTGAGTGTCGATTCTTTTCTAGCGGGTCTTTTTCAAAATTTTGCGTATTATAAATACCTGGTCTATGGTGGATTTTCCAGGCCTAAAGCCACACTAATAAGGCCCAATCAGTTCATTGACGGTGGGCTTCAGTCTTTCACACAATAACTTCTCGCCACCGTACTTGAATAGCTCAGCTGACAGGCTGTCAGCTCCAGCAGCTTTCGTTGTTTTTCGGCCGCGTTATTGCTATTCGTACCTCCTCATGGCCAGGCGGAGGAACATCGACTCCCGTCATCATCAACTGGGGGCTCGGGTTATTCTTCTCCACAACTCTCCGAACTGCTACAATTCAGTAGCGTGGAAAAGTGTTCCCTCCATAATTTAAGTACGTTCTGAACATCGGTAACTAGGTCGCCATTGTTGTTCTTACAGGAGAACGCCCTGGTCTTGAAATCTTCCGTAAGTCGCCTAAATCTCTAGTAAAATTTTCGGTCATTCTTCCTGTCGGCCCGCATTTCGCACTCACGTTTAGCTGTTGAAAAAAAGTAACTGTAGCAGTCTTCAATGCGACATCGTTTGAGTTACTTTATAAATTTTAATAAAAAAGTTAACTATATTTTATTATCCGATCAGTTCGTAATTTATTCAATTGTATGTTACCAGGCTGTAACATACAATTGAATAAATTACGAACTGATCGGATAATAAAATATATAGAACTCTACCTCGGAAGGCCTGCCGAATATTGGTTTATATTTTTTCTGACACCAACCAAAATACACAAGATGAAAGATTTCTATAAACACATGAAGTATAAGCACGGCGAACTTACATGCATCCCCCTTAAACATTACAGCAAACAAAATCAGAAATTAGCCAAACAGAACTAAGAAATAAAATTCTTATTGGAATGCAAAAGATATGGTCTTATTCCTATTCACTTGAAAAATTCTATAAAAAACTTAACCATAAATACCAGTTCTGAGAGGATTAGACAACAGATAGAAAAGTCGAAACGAGTCTTTCTTATGAAAGTATTAAATATAGAAATTACGCAAACAAACATTAATAACATACATAAAACATTAATATAAAACTAACTCAAGATCTTTTGAATCAGGCGCAACAACAACTAAAACATGATTTAAACGAGTTAGAATTTAACACGTTCGTTAATAAGCAAAATTTTCTTGGTCAGAGGATCGCAGAAAAGAAGAGGATGACTCTCCACTCAAAAATAAATAAACTTAAATATGAACAAGTTCAGAAATTGGGAATCAAAACAGACAACAACTGGGTCGTTAACAACACAACAATCGAATTTCCCGAAGAATTAAAGTGGATACTCTCACTTGGTAGAAAATTCACCTTACCAACAACTAAATCGAATTTCTCACCAATACATACAATAGCTGAAAAGGAACATCTAATCCAATCACTGGAGAATGAAAAAGAAAAAGAAATAGCCAGAAATAAAGTGAGCAGCAGAATCCTACTGTTCAAATGCAATATAAAGCATAACGCAGCGGAGAAATTTATTTTATCAGCTTTTTACAAAGCGTTCGTCAAGCTACACAAAAACAATGTTGTTATTACTGATGCCGACAAAGGAAACAAAACAGTAGCTATGTATAAAACAGAGTACCTGGAGAAAATGAATAAATTAATAGAAGACAAAAACACGTACAAAACAATAAGAAGNGCTATGTATAAAACAGAGTACCTGGAGAAAATGAATAAATTAATAGAAGACAAAAGCACGTACAAAACAATAAGAAGTGACCCCACAAACACTCTCCAAAGAAAAAACAAGAAAATAGTGGACGAACTTGAGAAAGGCAAGCACATCAACTTTAGAGAAAAACAACAACTCACATGCACGGCAGCCACAGCGCCAAGACTTTATGGATTGCCAAAAATTCATAAGCTAGATGTTCCTCTTCGTCCTATTGTTTCCTCTTTTATGGTCCCCTGTTATAAAATGTCAAAATACATCGGAGATATTTTGAAAGTATTAATTTCGGAAAAATACAACGTGAATAATGCATTCAACCTAAAAGATAAGCTAGCCAATATATGTGTGTGTGATGAAGATGTATNACATTCAACCTAGCCAACATATGTGTGTGTGATGAAGATTTATTAGTGTCGTTCGATGTCGTCTCCTTGTTCACAAATTTACCAACAATGTTAGCCTCAAAAATCGTAATGAATAAATGGGACCAAATTCAACATAAAACCAATATTCCGAAAAATAAGTTCCAAGAAATGTTAAGTTTTTGCCTAAATGACAATAACTATTTCATGTTCAACAAAAAATTATATTCGCAAACGTTTGGAATGCCTATGGGTAATCCTATTTCCCCAACAATAGCCGACATAATTATGGACAACCTACTGGACAATGCCATCTCGGAGCTCAAGGAAAAATTCAATATTGACATAAAATTTGTAGCCAAATATGTGGACGACATCTTCGCTATAGTTAAACGTAATGACGCGAATATTATTCTAGGGTTTCTAAACAAGTATCACAACAAACTCCAATTTACGATGGAAATAGAGAAAAATTCAAAAATCCCTTTCCTTGACGTTTGCATTCATAGGGAAAACCAATATCTTTTACTTGACTGGTACTCTAAGCCAACTTCTTCTGGACGCTTAATAAATTATTATTCATCGCAACCAACTAAATATAAGATTAACACAGCAAAAAACCTCATCCACAAAATATTGACGACAAGCCACACACGATTCCATGACGCTAACATAGAGAAAATAAACAAAATATTAATATGCAATAATTATCCTGTTAAATTAATACGAGAACTAATAAGTCAACAAATTATGAAAAACAACATTCACCCAAATACAATACCGAACACAGACACAACAAAAACCACAAAGAAATTTTACAGCGTAACGTATATTCCCAACCTAACCGACAACTTTGATCACAGCATAAATAAACCACAAAACACAGCACTTGCCTACAAATCCAATTACACCCTTTCGACAATATACACAAAAACAAAGTGCCCAGTAGATGTCCACCAACAAAGCGATGTAGTGTATGAAATTAAATGCAAAGGAAAGGAAAATGAAGAATGCGGGAAAGTGTATATTGAGACAACTCAGCGGCCTTTAGGTGTTCGATTAGGCGAACATGAAGCTGACATCAGAAAACAAAAAAGCAGTACAGCATTAGCACAACATATAACAACAAGTGGACACACAGCTGATTTCGCAAACGCAAAAGTTATTGACAAAGAAAAAAGAGAGTCAACCCGATATACATTGGAGAGCCTCAGAATAATGCAAAGGAGAGAAAAGACCATGAACAGAAAGGAAGATACAGACAACATTGCGGCCGCATACATTTCATGTTTATGATTATAAACTAACTTTTAGTATTGACAAAGCTACCACAAAAGATGGCATAGATTATTAGTATTTAGTGTTAATAATTCGTATGTATTAATGTTAAAATAGTGTGAGTCAAATTGTTTGTTCTCAAACTCAATCTGTAGTTTTTCTTGTCATTTGTAATTCCATATATGTATATGTTTTTATGTCTCCATTTATTATTTTTGGTTATAATGTGTTTTTGTATTTTATGGTTCGTGAAAGAATTAATTAAACGGAATTGCCCCTGAAGAAGCTAAACATGTTTTAGCGAAACGTTGGGCCAGAAAGTGAAATAACGTAGTTTTATTTGCACCAAACACTTAGATCAGACCAGCCTGGTAACATACAATTGAAAAAAAAAGTTAACTATCTCGCAAAATAGTAGTATAATCGGCCCTAGGGGAGTACAGAATATGAATAACAAAATATGTAGTAAAAAACTCCTATAGTAGTACTTTCGGCAGCACTGGCTGGTATACGCGCTTCGAGTGTAAGAAAACGATCTACCAATGCTCGTCAAGGAGCGAAACAGAAATCATTTTGTTTTCACTATTTTGCTTTGCAAAGATAGTGGTTTTGATTTTGCTCTAACACAAAACAGTTCAAATTGATAGCAAATTTTGTGTCTTTGAATGAATCATTCGTGAAATGTTTCGTTTGTTTTCGAAGTCAATATTTAATAACGTCAGGGAAATTTAGAAAAAAATTATCAAATAATAAAGCACATAATATGAGAATATGAATGAGTGAGCAGTAAGTGAATTACGAAGCCCCATATGTATTGGCATTTTCGTATCTTTGAATTTAGCGTGCTTAGCTTCCTAGTCCAACATCCAGCTGCCACTGGCATAGGATCAAACCACACCAGCTTGCTTCCATTGAAATAAAAGGCTTTTTAAAAAAGCGTTAACATTTAGAACTTTTTTCAAGATTTAAATTTTACGCGTTTGAGCGCAATGCGCTAACATTTCTTCACTTTATCTATGTTACTAACAAATACAAATAACCCACTTGAGATATTTTCGAGTATACGAATGTGTGGTTAGTAAATATCCCAAGTTTGAATTCGAAATAGAAAAAATTGTTGATATCGCAAAAAGACAGCGACGCTGATCGTTTCGAGACTTGGTGGCTTGCTATTTCTCAAATTTACGCCTACACACTCCAACGCGCACTCGATTTGTCAGACTGCATGCTCATTTTTACGCGCCTTTTGCTGCTGTCCGACGGTGGCGCTGACACAGGCACGGCCACTTACCGACGTTGCAGCATCAACACCGCCAGCCTGCACTGAGGCACGCCTACTGACACGCTTTCGTGCTGCTGCTGCCATGTGAGCTGCGGTACGCTTCTCACGCCAGCGATCGATGGGTGTGTAGCAACACTTAAAGAATGGTGCACGTCGACGTTGCTCTTCGGAGCTGGCCGAACTACTGCTGCTCTTCGCCAAAGATGCGTCCGTAAGTGAGGTTGCAGTCAATTCGGTCTGTACGCCGCTGTTCGTCAACCGCGCTTGCATTCCATAGAGTCTACCCCTAGATGTTGGCGCTTCAGGTGCTGTTATTCTGGGCGGTGTCGCAGACGCTAGGGGCGATGCCTTGCATATGACGCTCGGCGGCTCAGCGTCCTGAAGCTGGAGAGATTGCTCCGAAGAGACAGATGCTGCCGATGTACCCGTCGTCGACGTCGTAGAAGGCCGAAAGTCATGCGAGCTGCTCTCGACCATGGCAGTGCGATAGTTGGCGGCAAAATAGTTTGTCTCCAGATAGTGGCAGGACTGAAAAAGGTAGTCGTCGAATTGCTGCAGTAAATATTGCTGCTGCCCGACGCTGTCGATCAGTACGTCGCTGTCAAGCGGATACTGTGTGCACTGCTGTTGGTGCAGTGACGCATAACGTCGTATGCCTTTGTGCGATAGCGACGATGGCGAGATTATCACAAGAGATTGCGCTGTCGGTGAGTGTGTCTTCTCAACTCCATGCCCCATATACTGTTGCTGTTGAGCGAGCTGTTGTTGCTGCTGTTGCTCATCCAGCTGCCGCTGCCTTTGCTCCATATCAACAATTTCTATTTCCTCAATATCACTAAAACTATTTAATTGTTTCAACAAATAATGCACATCATTTCGTTTCATTTGATTATCGTCGTGCGATGGTGCTATTACAGCAGCTGCGGCCCCCACGTTAGCCGCTTCCCGTTCTGCTGCTATTTCCGCTCCCGCCGAACGCAGACGAGCAAGCGAAGCAGCGGATTTCCCTTTCAGTTTCGCTTTCGGTTTTGCTGCATGCGCAGTTGCTGCTGATGTTTTCGCTGTGGCCGCTGCTACTGTTCCTACTGCTGTTGTTGTTGCTGTTGTGAAATTAGTTTTTTTAGTTTGCGAATCAGTCGCGACAATGCCAGGATGGACTAGCGCTAGGCGCTGCTGTAGCGCATCGCTTAATGGTGCTAAGCTGGTGCGAACTGCAAGTTGCATATTGTCGTGCGCTTGTTGCTCTTGCAGCTGGTGTTGCTGATAATAGTTGGTTTCCGGCATTGTACTGTCGATGATTCGGTTAAATTTAGCTAATACCGTTGATGATGAACTCAACACTGACGGTGGTGATGATAACGATGTCACTGCTACTCGTGCTGCTGCAGCTCCTACTTCTCCTTTAACTGGCGTTGCTATTGTAGACGAGTGTCCCACTGCATCGACTTTGCTATATTCTCTTCTAAATGGTTGTTGTTTTGGCTCATGTGGTTGTAGTTGTTGTTGAGGCACTGTTGTGACGGTTTCTACGTTAACACCATCCCATTTGAACTCTATTCTTGATGTTCCCGTCTCCATCGAATCCGATTTATTATCATCACTATCAACATTCAATGTTTCCGTTACATTTAAATTTAAACGTAATTGATTTTTCATTAACAATCTTCTACTATTACTTAATAACGTGTTCGTAGTTATATTAGATAAATTAGTCGCATCTTTCGCACAAGTAGTGGTTGTTGTTGGCGCTGCTGCCACTGCAGTCATGTCAGCCGTTTGTTTTTTTTTTGCTATTGCCGCGGAGGCTGCTGCTGCCCCCGTTTTTGTTGTTGTGCTGGTTTTGGAATTAGCTAAATTTCCATTAAAAATTAATTTCCTCGACGAAATGATGCCATTATTGTCGCTCCCCCGCGATTACCGACTGTCGCGAGTGGAGCGAGGCCTTCCCTAACTGGATGTCGAAGCGATTGGCGATACTGGCGACAGCGGACTGCGCGCTGTCTCACGAGGACATCCGGACAGTGTTATAACTAGTTTGCGTGAGCCCGCCTGGTCGCGATGCTCGCATAACCAAACGCCTTGCCATGTACCAAGCGATAATTTACCATCAGTTATAGGGATTGTCAATGAGCTACCGAGAAAGCAGGCCTTCACATGCGCCGGCTTGTAAGAGAAAAATTATTACAAGTTTAGAAATGAATACTTTTAAATTTTACACCCCAGCCAGCAAAATATCCGAAAATGGAAAAAATTCCGTATAAAAATCTTTCATCCCGTTTCATATTCGTCGTTTTTCGGATACATTTTGACACTAAAGTGATCATCCGAAAGATGGGTACATAGTAGTAATGAGCGATATTGTGATTTTTCGTTATCAGTGAATTCAAAGACTGCGATTATTAATCACCGTGGTTTTTAATTTTGGTTAAGAGAAGTTTAACTTTTAATGCTTCCAAAATTATAGTGAATGTTTCTTCGACCTTTATATTTCAAGAATGGTTAAAATTTTAATTATTTGAAACCAATAAGTAAAATGTAATGAGCATATGGTGATTTTTTATTCAATATTTACTACTTTACTTTTTACTTTTACTTTTACTTTTAAAGTGTTCTTGTTAATTTTTAATACTAATGTCGTTCATTCTACAAAAAATTTTAGGAAAATCAAAGGAATTACCCAAACTGAAAAGAAACTCACCACTAACTCACCACCACTAAATGGTATAGAATTCTTGGGAATCAATAGGGCTAATTAGGATGTTGTGGAAATGGTCTTGGATTTGCAGTTGGAATTGCATTTGCTGTGAATTTACAAATGCAACGAATATGAAAATCCAAGAGCATTCAATAATAATACCCAATTGTTTATTTAACCATTTTTTAATACTAACGATTTTGTATTGGTCGCCCCATTGCATTTTTCGGGGTTTTTGTGGGTTTTTTGCGGACCTATAAACTATAGTTGCGATAAAAAAGGTTAAATAAACAATTGCGTATTATTGTTGGGAATCTCCTGCAGATAAACAGAGTTTTCTGGTAGAAAAATATTGAGTTTTAACTATTCTATACCATTTCTATGAAAAGTTGTTTTTCCCCCATATAAAATACATGGAAAAAAGGGTATACTTTTTTTCGGTATAGGACAATCCTAAGGGGTGAGAGCATAAAAATTCCGACTTTACTTTTTCACATGCGTTTTTGGATCACCGTAATGCACATACATAAGGCAAACAAATCACCAATCACTACTTCCGCTGACTAACAATAGCTCTTACTATAACAGTTCAACCTAATATTACCGGCGTAAATTTTTCTACACCCGCGCGCAAGTTTTTTACATTTGATAAACTGTAATCAATTTGTGTGTGAGATTTCTCAGAGTTGCATTTCTGTCAAATTTACAGAAGTTTCTTGAATAAAATTGGAATCCATAGTCGCGCCAAAATGTCAAATGAGCATAAACGTCCAATCGAAATATTACGCAACACAAATCTTGGAATTTGATTTAGCTTTTTACACCCGCGCATACTGGGGTCAAGCGTGCTCAAAACTAAATTAAAAAAAAAATCCTTTTTATGAAAAACCAAAAAACGCAGGTTTATCCCCATTAAATTCTACATTTGGGGGTAAGTTTTCAGCTTCCTATCGTTTTTCCGCTGGGAGATATGCGTGTCCAAACTTGACAAATTTGAACAATATGTAAACTTGTTACTGTAAGAAAGCGGTATTATATTTCGTCATTTTGTCACTTCGATTATTTAAAATGAAGTTTATTTTTTTGGTGTATATTTTTTTTGGAATTATGTGTTTTAAAAAAATTGTGTTAAAAAAACTAACCTAACCTCTATTTTTTGCAAGTGTAATTTTCAAAATCATTTTTCATCATTTTAATGCTTAAAGCGCTTTTAAATTTGACAGTACTACAATATGTATGTTAAGAATCCGAGTTCAAGACCAGAAGCACTTTGCGCATTTTTAAATAAATTGGTTTTAAAAATTTCACTCTGACTTTAATTAAACACAAAAACATATACTTCTGGTTAAGTTTGATTCAGTTTCATTCCGAACTTAAACTGTTTATTATTAAGGTTGTTCAAGGAATAAAGAGCGGAATTAGTTCTAACAAGGACTTAAAAATTTTTAGTGAGAAGCGGATTTAGTTCGAACAAGGACTTTAAAAACTTTAGAGAGATCTATAGTAGGAAAACGAGTCGCGCTGACAATTTAGAATACGTTTTTAATAGATTGTTAGATTCATCAGATCCTCTGATTACTTGCTCGCGCTTGTTGCTAATGGTCACAAACCGGAGATCTTTCTTTGCTGAAGCAATGGAGTTACTTAGTAGAACTTGAAGCGAATAATATTAATTTAACGGGGCTTGGATGGGATTTAGATTCCGAATGTGAGGAATAAGTGTCCCTGTTTTCATTATATGGTGCTTATCATAACTATAAGATACCCACATATTGACAAGTTTTGACTATTTTTTTACGTACGTATTTTTGTAGCCCAATAAAGTGGCAGTTTGAAGTAGCTAGGACATACCGTTGATTTTTGGCAATTTTTTTGGTGAAGGTGTCACTCATTTTCTCCATATAAAAAATCGTCGAACATACTTTGTATGGAAAAACGTAAGTCCTAGCTATTTCAAACTTGCACTTTATTATACTACAATTAAATAGGTTACAAAACTGCATACTTAAAATTCTTTTTTCATAGTGCTTATCATAACTATACGACACCCACATATTAAAAAGTTTTGACTATTTATTTTATTTTAATTTTATTTTAATTATTTTTTTATAAAAATATAGCAGATTTTTTAATAATTTAATGAGTTTTATTTAATACATTACTTGCTTTTCGATATTTTGTATGATTAATTTGTAAATCTCTTTAAATTTAAAATATCTGTGTTCGTATGGAAAAGTCGCTTATGTCGAAAGGCTGGCTTTAGTATAATGCGGCATTCCCTTTATTCTTTAAACGACAATAAATTTTTTGCAGAGACTTAATAAGAATATTGACTTGCTAGTATCGGAACTATTTATTGCACGTTTATTTGCCAAAAGTTGTTCAACGGCTCAGCGCCAGTGAGCTATTCGCAATCCTATGCTGCGAATGCCGATTTATACTAAAGCCTGCCTTTGCAGGTTGTATGTGCATGAGAAATTGTTGACAGTAAATTGCCGGCGTGTGTGAATATAAGTTGGCCTGTAAGTGATTTTTAATTCACAGTGAAGAAATCACCGATAGTGAAATATCGCTCATCACTAGTACATAGAGAAAAGTACCGAAAATGGTTGAAAAACTAAGGTAATTTCTTTCTACTGTCTTTGTGAAAATCTTCAGATTAAATATTTCGTTGAATACGCCTTCATTCTGAACTTCACAGATGCTTTTTCATAGTTAGGAACAAAAAAAATAATAATAATAGATTCCGCACGAGTTTTAATAATAATAAATTACGTAGTTCGCTCTCTCATTCGTAATTCGCACTCCAATTACCCTTCGAATTACGTAATTCACCATATAAAGTTTTGAAAGCGAATTACCTCATTTGTTGGTAACTCAGATCCAATTACCATGCGAATTACGAACAAATCGCTGCCGCCTCTAATTTTAGTCGCATATTTATCGAAACCAGCAGCCGGATTCCCACATTTGCTATCGCTAATTTTGTTCGCCGAAAATTTCCAAAAGAATGGAAGGTGCCCCTAACAACACGCAATATATAGTTGCATGCCCGCCGCACTGCTAGATTTGGCTGGTTACGCATTGCATGTGTTACTTTTCCATGTTGTATACTTCTAGGCCCTACCGCTTTTAATTTAGAGAATTTTAGCAACGAAAATTTAGCTTAGCACTGTCAGAATTCCACTGTAGTTCACAAATGAAAACTGGCACTTTTTCTGAGTTTAAAATAAAGTTCATACATTTGTACATCACCAATTTAATACAGAAATTTATAAATTTTTAGCAATAACTTATATTTTGCATCAATTTTGCACCGAAGAAAAACAAAACATAGACACGAGAACTGTCAAATCGAATTAAGAATGTGCCCGTGTGAATGGAGTTATTCGCGAACGTAATTGGAGCAGCGAACAAAGTAATTCACGGTGTCGTGGGAAAGCCGTGTAAGTCTGCTGGCAATTGAGTATGGGACCTTCTGGAAGTAATTAAGCCATAATACGTTTACATATGTTTAAATGTCCAGTTTGAATAAATATTTTAAAATTATATTTTCAAATAACATAATGATTTTCAGACGTTTTCCGGAAAATTGTACCAAAACCCCGCTGTCGGCAAAACTTACATACGTTTTTTGCTGGCTGGGAAAATACATATACATTTGAACATAGGCACATACATATTAAAATCTAATATACTCACCATATCATCGGGTCCTTCGCACGAGTGCCTATATGGTAGGCCTTCGGGAACTATTTTATTTAACATCATTTCCATATCGTCTCTATACGTGACCAATTTAAGTTATTAAATTGATATGAAATAATCGTATTAAAAATGTATGTTACCTAACATCTGGATCCCAACTCTCGTTTAACGCCAAACTCGCAGATGTATGAAGGACTGTAATGAAAGTAAATTAAATTTCTGAGTCATTTTCATACCACAAATAAAATCTACATTGATCTACGATACAGATCTCAAAAATGAGAGGGAATAGAAAATTTCTTGTAGGTGGGGTGCAATAACACCATACGCAATAGGGCCATAATGCCTTTACTTCGCTTGGCGATTGGAAATAAAACCATAGTGTGTTGCTAGCGGGGGAGCGGGCAGATGTGCACCCGCCAAGTTATGCACTCGCAAAATTAAAACTTGCTTACATAAGTACATATATTTTTTCCCAACATCCAATAAATGCGGAAATATCAAATAATTATTTATTTCATTTTATTAGTAATAATTTGTATAAATTTAAATAATTCAGTAACATACGTACATACATATGTATGTTTTAACTAAATCGAACAAAAAAAGCTTATTCAATATGGATCAAAGAACCACTAAACTTAACTTCGGCGCGGACATAACACTGTGGGTAATAGCGTAGCCGAGATATTGGTACTGCTAGATCTGGTACTTTGAAGCGCGGCCGAAGGTCGCCTACTCAAAAAGGAGTTGTGCGCGCATACCCGAATTTTGAAAACTTAAATCATAATTATTTTAATTATTGGTACTCAAAATAGTTTTTAAGAAAGGCTGTTAGTTTTTATGAATTAAAGGTGCCGCCAAGAGTTAACATCGTGAATAAGGTTCGGAATGTATTTTCTACAGATGACTTTTGAAATAAGTATTAAAAAAGTTAATTTCTGTTCTCGGATTCGTAATACTGGGGGTTTAAAATGCGTATATTTGATACGCCTTCTGACGAAATAGTTTGATGATTACCAATGATTTTCCAAAGTGCCCGTAAACTGGAAAATTACCGTAACAATGTTAACAAACGGCGATAGTTTCTTTATTCACATTCCGAACATTCGGAATAAATTTTTTTGTTCACTTATTCATTAGAACGTTGTTCCCGGATAATATGGGGCCGGATAATCTGAACGCATTCTTTTTATTTCGTCTGTAGTACGGAACTCATAGACTACTGCAACGGTGGGCCAACGATCGGAACATTACCCGCAATTGGAGAATGAAAATTGACTTTCTGACTTAATGTTCTTTACCGATATGATGGAACTTTTGCGAAACTTGAATTTGTCTTTACAATGTTTTTGATTTGTCGCCAATTATTTTAAGTTTTGAAGCTAAACTTCTTCCTGTTGTTGTTGTTGTAGCGGCTACAACAACCCCGCCCAGATCGGTTGGTATCTCAGTCGTTGTCGTCAAGTTCCGTTAACGGCAGCCCTAGGAAGCGTGCAGCTTCTGTTGGGTTGGTCCACAAGGACACAGCCGTTAGGGTTGTCGGGTTTTCAGGGCATGCGAAGAGATGTTTCGAGTCATGTGGGGTCTCTCCGCATGCCGGACACTCATTTGGCACATCCTCATTCAATCTACTCAGGTAGGAGTTTAACCTGCTGCAGTAGCCAGAGCGAAGTTGGGCTATTGTCGTTCGTATCTCCCGAGGCCGAGTTAGCTCCGTTTCGTCTATGTCCGGGGGCGGTATGCCTAGAACTAGGTCTAGGTCACAGGTCTAGAGTCTACATAACTCGAGACTGACTCCCTGTGAATGCCGTTCAGGGCCAGTCGGTAAGCTGACGGACTTCGTCTGCCAGTTCATATAGATGCCTCCTGACGTGCCTAGGCGAGGGCTCCTCTGCAAGCAGCTGTCTGCTTGGGTGGCCACTTCTGTGGCTCCCGATCAGGAACTGCTTGCAGAGCATTATATTGTGCCCCTTTACAGGGAGCATTTCTGCCTCGCCGTGGAGATGATGTTCGGGCGACATCAGGAGGCATCCTGTCGCTGTCCTGAGTGCGGTGTTCTGTACAGTCTGTAGCTTCGTCCACTGCGTCCTACTAGTCCCTGGCGACCACACTGGCGCTGCGTAGTTCAAAACCGGCCGGCCTATTGCCTTGTATGTTGCCAGCAACGTTTCTTTGTCTTTGCCCCAAGTACTGCCGGCTAGCGACTTGAGGACCTTGTTGCGGCTCTGTACTTTATTGACAATAGCGGTTGAGTGCGCAGAGAAGGAGAGCAGGCTGTCGAATGTTACTCCGAGTATTTTGGGGTTATTCACCGTCGGAATTGGTGTGTCATCGCCGTCAGTATTCAGCGGTAGCCTGACCTCCTTCGTCCAGGTTGTGAACAGGGTCGCAAAGGATTTCGTAGAGGAGAGGGCTAGACACTTTGCACTGAAGAAGCGAGAAAGTTCGGAGAGATACCCGTTTACTTTCTAACACAGGTCATCAATTCCATTCCCAGTCGCCATGATCGAGCAATCGGCGGCGTAAGAGATAATCGAGACTCCCTCTGGTGGTTGAGGCAGCTTTGAAATGTAAAAGTTAAACAGTAGCGGGGACACCACCCTGTGGAACCCCCTGTTTTATTTTTCTGAGTTTACTCGATTTGTCTCTAAACATTACCGACGAGTGTCGACCACTCAAATAATTTGCCGACCACCGTTTGAGCCTCTGTGGGAGAGAGGAGGCCTCTATATCTTCTAGTAGCGTGGAATGGCAGACGGTGTCAAACGCCTTTGACAAGTCCAACGCTACTAGAATCGTTCTCTCACAGGGACGGTTTCGGTTAAGGCCACGAGTTATCTGAGTGTTTATGGCTCTAAGTGCTGTTGTTGTACTGTGCACTTTACGGAAACCATGCTGATGCTTCGCTGGGGTCAAGTGGTTTGTGAAATACGGGAGTAGCAAGGCCTCGAGTGTCTTCGCAACCGGGGAAAGGAGTGTTATCGGACGATAAGAATCTCCTATGTTGGCAGGTTTCCCCGGTTTGAGCGGTGGGACCACTCTCCCCATCTTCCAGATGTCTGGGATGATGAGAGTGGCCATAGACAAATTGAGGACCTCCGTCATTATTACCATTCCGTTCAAAATTTTTTATTTTCTTTTTAGTATTTATATGTAAATTTTTTAAGCTTGCATTTGGGGGGATTTTTTTCAAAAAACATTTTTAAGAAACAATTTTTATTCATAAGTTCAGTTCGAACGTCGAAGAGTGCGGACGTGTTTTTAAGTTCGCTCCGTAGTCATTAAATAAAGTGCTCATCCATGGGCCTCTCATTATTGAATGGGCACCCCCGCCAATTGGGTAACTTTCCGAAGAAACCCAAGAGTCCAGGAATAAGGATATTAAAAAATATCGGCAGCTTGTTTCCTCGGCCCCTGTCAATCAAGTTTACGTTTAAACCCACCAAAACAAAATCATAAACTGTCGTCAGATGCCATTAAATTATTATCAACTGTTGTAAATGCGGATGCGGAATTGCCATCAGTAAATATAGATACGAGCCTGGATACTTCAGATGACTGCGTGTCTGATGGTGTATAAAATTGTTATCTTAAAAATATATTCCTGTACCAACAAATATGTATGTCTTGTTTATTGATTCATTCAAGATCCCGCAGTTTCCGTGTAAATTTGAACATCAAGATTTTTACAAACAAACATTAAGACCACGTTAGTGTTTGTCCGAGCTTCTTTTCCGATTTGTGGCGTGCGCCTTGATGTTGGCGCACAAAGGGGAGGGACCAACAGTTTTACGCCGAATCCGAATGGGAACTTTATTTTTAGAGAAGCTGTTCTTCGTGGCTGAATACACTCGGGGGTTTGCTATTGCCTGCAAAAGGGCGACTTTATTACAAAAAACTTGTTTGTTTATTATTTTTTGATGTTGGTCGGAAACTGGGCTTGCACCCAGGCCCTGCGGAATGATAGCGTACCGCTACATCACATTATATAACAAAAAAACCGAAAACATGACCTTTTTTACTTAACTACCTTAGTTTTGCTAAAACTCTGATTATTTTAAGCGTACACAGCAGCCATTATGGATCCGTCATTTTGAATTTCGAAATTATGTGGTGAAATTTAAAACCAGCAATACACAAAGTTTGATTACAATTGTACCACGCTTCGACTTTTGGCCAGCTTTTTCGAAAAATTGGCCACTGTGGGCTGTTACGAATATAATAAAACTGCGGGATCGTAGTATTGCTATAATGCTAAATCCGAATATGCCATAAAATTTATAGTTTGACGGATGACAGCTGTTAAATCAACTGCCAATTTCTCTAAAATTAAGAAAATCCTTTTGAAAATGCCACTGATTGCGTTTTTTGACATGCTGATCACGAATTTTATGTCAAATTTAAACCCTGACAGTTGACAGCTGTCAAATGAACTATGAATTTTTCTAAAAATAAAACAATATTTTTAAAAATGCCACTGATTACGTTTTTTGACATGCTGATCACGAATTTTGTGTCAAATTAAAACCCTGATAGTTGACAGCTGTCCAATGAACTATGAATTTTTCTAAAAATAAGACAATCCTTTTCAAAATGCCACTGAATAGGTTTTTAGACATGCTTATCACCAGGGAACGGATTTCATGGAAATTGCCTTTTTTTCTGCTAAAGAGATAGAGTATATTCGATTAAGAATGTCCACGATTTAGCTTTCCCTGATTCCATATATACACATTTGATGTTGCCTTTTTTTGCCTTTTTTATATTTGCCTTTTTTAAGATATTTGCCTTTTTTGCCTTTTCTACCTTTAAAAAAGTCATTATAGCATTTACAATTTTTTTTTAATATTAAAAAATATACACATGCCCAACCGGCTTATAGAAGCGCAGGGACCTCTTGCCAAATTGGTGTTGGAAAAA